CTTCAAAGGCAGACCTAAACAGCGATGTTCTAGTATGGAACATCGATGTAGAGACCTGACCGTTGGAAGGAATTTAAGGCTAAAACTTTCCTTGTTTGGAAGTCAACAGCCAAAACAGCGATGTAGGGATTTTAGACATCGCTGTTGGCATGACCGTTGCTTCCCATTTTTCAAAACGCAAGCCTAGAACAGCGATGTCCAAGCCTAGGACAGCGCTGTCTGGGTGAATTTCAACAGATCCAATTTTCATCAAATCCCACAAATTGTGCCAATCACCCCTTAAATACTTTGGTCCGTTGGAGCCTATTTTTCTACTATAAAATGGGGTGTTTGGGTCTGTTTTACACATCACATTACTTCACAACTCATACTCTTTCATTGCAAATCATTCTTCAATTATTCATAGCTTTTGAGAGCCATTTTTTGTGAAGCTTGTGTTGTGTTCTTGAGCGTTCTTAGTTTACTCATTATCCACTCTAAAAGAGAGTAGTGTTCTTGAGTGTTTTTAGTGTTCTTAAACACTTAACAAGAGAAGGTATTTTCTCTTGTTGTTCGAAGGAAGGGCTGTTTCCTTCGAAGGTTCGTTGAGGTTCGTGTGACTCGAATTCTCAAGTTGAAACGGTTTGTTAAGCACTCGTAAGCTTAACGGAAGTAGTGTAGCTCGAGAGAGTCTCTCGGGAGGCTGGATTAGCCACAAGTTGTGGTGAACCAGGGTAAATCTTGGTGTGCTCCCTTTACGCTTTCTACGCTCTTTATCTTTCACGCTCTTAATTTTTTATTCCTGCGATTTCTACGATCAAACTCTATTCACCCCCCCTCTAGCGTTGGTCACTTATTCTAACATGACCCATTCAAGATAATTAGAGGAATTAAGTTTCCTCTCTATGATTTTTGACATGACTGGAAAAACTTCAAACATGACACTAGACTTATCACCCATTTCAATGGACTAAAATTTGAACAAAACCTGATTCGCAGAGGAAGACAGAGCAAAAATCACTCACTGAATGTCCAAACTGAGTCTGCACGGGTGCTTAAATGACTCAGGCGACCCTGACAATGATTTTTGACAGTGGATCTTACCAGCAGTGGCTGGGCGTGAGGTCTCCAACGAAGGAGAGATTCTCCAGAATTGTTCTCCTGCAAAGTGCGACTCCACCCACGGTGGCGGTGACGTCAGGCGAGCACCCTTAGAGATAGCGTCAAAATGGCAGAAGCCCTTTTTTTACAAATAATGAACCCTAACCCTAGAGCACACTAGCTCTGATACCATGTGATTGATAATCAGAGGTGTTCCTCATTATACATTATTACATAATACAACATGACTATATTTGCATAAGAAGGGTGCTAATATAAGGAAACTAAATCTCCCATATTAATGCCTAAATCACCCATATTAATGGCCAAATCAGATCCTGCCATATTCTCAGGACTTAACTAAAATACTAATATTATTACTAATAACAGCTATGAATGATATTTTTTGTCCTTATTTAAGGAAATTTGTACTATTATTCTTTGACGGCATACGAGTTTACAGCAACAGCTCCCAGCAGCATCTTGTTCACCTCTGCCAGATACTTCAGGTATTACAGCAACATCAATACTTTGCCAACCGTAAAAAATGTGATTTTGGGTGTTCACGTGTGGCATATCTGGGCCATCAAATTTCAATTCGGGGGATGGAAACTGATCTTGAGAAGATGAGAGCAGTGGAGGAATGGCTTACTCCTAAGGATGTCACATCCTTACGTGGCTTCTTGGGGCTTATCGGCTACTACAGGAGGTTTGTACAGAATTATGGAATCATTGCATAGCCATTAACTGAGTTGACTAAGAAGAATGCATTTACATGGAATTGTAGAAGTCAACACGCATTTGAGGAGTTGAAAGTTGCCCTTATTAGTGCTTCTGTTTTACGTCTCCCAAATTTTAATACTGAATTTGTGGTGGAATGCAATGCTTCTATGGATGGTATTGGTGCTATTTTGATCCAGGAGGGACATCCAATTGCTTTTTACAGCAAGGGTCTAACATACTCTAACAGGCATCAATCAGCTTATGACCGTGAGCTACTGGCCTAGGTGTTAGCTCTTCAAAAATGGCGACATTACTTGTTGGGTCGTCATTTTGTGGTACGCACAGACCATCATAGCCTCAGATACCTGTTGGAGCAGAGGGTTCTAACAAATACCCAGCAACAACTTATCCTCAAGTTGTTGCCCTTCGATTTCCGTATCATTTACAAACCTGGGAAGGAGAATGTAGGCGCTGATGCTCTATCTCGTCGTCCCCACCAAGATGAGTTCCTTCATTTGGTGGTGCCGATACCTCTTGACTTTTTGAACTTTGAAGATTCCTTGCAGCAGAACCCAGTTACTAAGAAAATTTTGGATGAGTTGAAGTTAGATCCTTTTGTTATTCCTGGGTAAACTGAGGTAAAGGGAAAGCTGCTCTATCAGGGTCGTTTGTTTATTCCTCGGTCCTCACAGTTCTCCAATACGGGCCAAATTGATCGAAGAGGCTCACCTTACGCCATCTGGTGGCCATGGAGGGTTCCTCAAGACATTGAAGCGGCTTACTCGTACCTTCTTTTGGCCCAACATGAAAGCAGATGTTAAAAAATTTGTCCAATAGTGCCATGTTTGTCAACAAAACAATTATGAGACTATATCTCCTGTAGGGCTATTACAACCACTACGAGCAGCTGAGAGGATATTGGAGGATATATCTCTTGATTTCATTGTGGCTCGCCGTGTTCAGGAGGGTTTGACACTATATTGGTGGTAGTTGACCGCCTGAGTATGTACTGCCATTTTATCCCTTTGAGTCACCCATACACTGCCAAGACAGTTGCAGCTTCGTTTTGTGAAGAGGTGGTCCGACTACATGGAATTCCTTGCTCCGTCCATCCTTTCAGATAGAGACCCTCTTTTCCTTAGCATGTTTTGGCAGGAGTTGTTCTAGTTGAGTCAAACCCGTTTGCGGATGAGCACCTCTTATCATCCCCAGACGGACGGTCAGACTCAGGTGGTCAATCGCTCCTTGGAAGCATACTTGAGGTGCTTCACACATGAACAACCACGCCAATGGAGCAAGTTCCGGTGTTGTGCGGAGTACTCGTTCAATACAGGATTTCACACTTCGTCTCAAGTGACTCCTTTCAAGGTGGTTTACGGAAGGGACCCACCAGTAATCCACCCTTTTGTTCGAGGGGAAACTCTGATTGCAGAACTGGTAGAACAACTAGAGGCTAGGGACAATGTTTTGAGACTCCTACAAGATAATCTCAGAAAAACCCAAGACCGAATGAAGAGCTATGCGAACCAGCACCGCAGGGACATACATTTCAAAGTTGGGGATGCTGTTTTCTGAAAGGTAACCATGCAAGGATAGGCAGCGGAATATATAAAAATTTTAACATCCTAACATGATTATCTTGTCCAGAATCACGTACTAAAACTTATAGTAAATAAGAAATTTATACCTTTCTCCGTAAGCGGTAAAAACGAAGAAGTCGTAGGAAGAGCGTTGAAAGTGCAAACGTAACCGTTCAAGCGTCCGGTCTCCAACTTTGACACACGAACAATGCCGGAGTCTACCACAATCTTTATGCTAGTAAAGATTATAGTAGTATAAAATATAAAGATTAAAATTGGGATAATAATAATCTTGTATATTTCTATAGAAAATATTTCTAATAATATTTAGAAAATATTATAGATATTTTCTATACACAAAATGATATTAATGGAACCAAACTAATATTTTTCTCTCACTAGAGAAATTATGGCCGAATTTCCTTCACACACTCATCATTTGGTTTGTGAAAAACCAATCTTTTTTAAAGTGGACTAATTGTGCATGACATGTATATTTAAAACAAAAGATTAATCAAACTATTTTGTCATTAGCTAAATGACAAAATTAACTAGCCACTTAATTATCAATCAAGAAAATTTGATTCTCAAAATCCTTATGATGGCCGAAAGTTTGATTATAAAAGTGAGAAGGATTTTTGAAATTCTTCTCCACTTAAATGTTTAAAGTGTATTTTATTTGACACCAACAAATTAATATAAAATTAATTTTAAATCAAATAAAATATCAATATCATTTTAAACAAGTATACAAATATACTTTAAATAGTTTATGTCAAAATAATTATTTTCATAATTAAAATGACAAACCAAAATAAAATATTCAACATATAATATATATACATTAATCGGTACATATATATAATATATATAACCGAATATTTATATATATAATATTATATTCCAAAATATTTTATTTTACTATTTT